AGCCCTGGCAGCCATAACTGATTGGACATAGTGGGAGATGGGCTTCGAGGGGTCGTGGACAACATTGTGGAATTCAGAACGTGCCTTCAGCCTGCTGCCCATAGTCGACTTCTCAAACTGCCCTTTCAATGCCTTCCAAGACTCCCAAGCATGCTCCACATCAGCAACCAAATACTGCCAATCCTCAGAGACCTTCCCATAGATCAACCAGTTAATCTCTCCATCCAAAACCTCCTTGTCCTTGGGAACAGCAGCAGTCAAAGGATCATGGACATACTGTGCTCCACAGGCGTTCAGGAATTTGATCATAGGCTTGGACCAGGTGAACCAGTTGGAGTCATTGAGCTCTGGGACACTCTCAAGACCCTTGAGGATAGCATTGCCAATAGCCATGGTGAGTAGATCGAGGTAGATGTTGAATAGATCGGAAAGTGATAAGGGTGAAAATTGCCAAAGATGTCCTTATGGTCAGAGTGTTGGGCTCATAACCTATTAGACGTGGCAGGGATAGACCAGAAGGACACTAAAGATGCCCAGAGACTCAGACACAGACACAGACACAAACCGGAGGCTAGTATAGAGCAACGGACTAAGGAAAAGTACATCCAGTAGAACAATTACCAAAAATGCGAAACTGTTTGTACCTATTTGGTTATTGTGGCTGCTGAAAGCGTCCGATACAATCCAATCCTAACAAATGATGTAATGGCTCTGCAGATCAGGTGAACCTGCAGAGAGCCTATGTCATAGAAGGCAGGAGCCAATCAGAGTCCAGGAATCCAACCGACGCGGCCCGCACCTCAGCCACTGACTACAAGCCACTACAATAGTCAATTCCCACGATAAGCAATAAAAGTAAAACCGCCATGCGGACTAGGACAAGACACACAATTGATAAATTCACCAAAATATTGTTGTAGACCCGTATAGCATACGCCCAGGACTAGAAAAAATAAAAGAGAGATAAGACGAAGAATTGAGCCCGCAAATGAGCAAACAATGGTCCCAGAGACTACAAAAATGCGCCAGAAGTGGTTTTGTAGTCTCACATACAACCGGACTTCCAATCGGAGTTTCAACAATGTAGTCTTCAATACAAAACATAACTCCCACGACTTCTCGGCACAAAAGGTTCTCACGGGGTACAACATTCGGCACGCAGGCATATTTTGCGCGTAAGGACTCATCCTTCGTACCTCAGGACTCGTAAAACTCTATACCAGCTGGCACCTGTCTGGGGTCCTATGGCAAGGTGTCAGCATAGAGTATATTTCCTGCTAACCTCCTCTCCTGGTGACTCTGTTTCTCTTCTACAAGTATCTGGCTTACACTCTCCTCTACTACTCCTAGTCTACATGATACATTTATTGAGGGCGAGGTGCCAAAACAGCCTCTTCCCACCTGAAGAAGACCCCGGAATTACTCTTGCCACATAACCTATGCAGCACTTTGGCACCGGAACTCTGGGCCCCAGCCGACATGGTCCGGGATCCTGATGCGGCCTGCACTTATCTTATTGAATCAAAATATGTAATTGAAATGGAGGAAATCTTGCTAGGGAGACTGTTGAGCATCCTCCTAGATGCAATCAAAGACACCTGCAACACCTGCACAGAGATTGTGCAGGCCGTAGCCTACCTCCTGAAGGATGAAGAAACCTCTGAAATGACCAAGGCCATATGCAACACCATGGGACAATGGATCAAGGTGCTTGAACATGCAGCCCTTATGAAGATCAATGAAATGCTGGAAAATATAACATCCCAGGTAAAGACAGCAACCTCCACCGGGGGCATTCTCTACGAGGCATGTAAAGTATAGGGGGTGATGTATACTAGTATAGCAGTACACTGGGATCCTAGGTCACCCAGGACTATATGCAGAAAATAAGGCTTCACCATAAATGCAGACCAGAGCGCATGCTAAGGCCCTGGAAAAGGGGGAGAGCACTGCACCATCACACCGGGAAGAAATTTTGAGTTAGGTACTTGAATAGCCCACCCAGAACAGGTACCGTACATCAGTTATAAATCTTTGGCCGAAGGAGAAAAAATCCTCGTCAAAATCCGAAGGATAAGCAGGCTAGAAATGTATCTCATATGCCATACGTGAATATTCAAGAGCGGGAGGCTGTGTGACCAGCTCATGACCACATCCAGCATCCTTGCAGCGACAGGCACAGGCAGCCTCAAGGCATGTGTCCTCGATGCTGCCACACTGCACCCTTCCCTTTCAAGTTGGCGGAGCTGTATCATTATCGAGCCCAGATTGAGAAGAAACGGTAGATGTTGATTGGACCGGCGTTGTCCGAGAGGAAAATACAAATCTGATAAGATTTCGGATGGCGCAAGCATTCACCAATCACACACGATCTTATCAATCACCCGCCGAGACCCGAGCAGGTTTCTTCACTTGCAGTACTCACTGCTCTACTCAATTCTCCTACGACTCTCCCCCATCACAACTTCAGAAGAAGCAAAATGGCCACACCGCAAAACTTCCACGTCGTCACCTCGCCGACGCACTTCCAAGAGCTGCTCTCGCAAGACCTCTCGCGCGTCTCGCTCATCAACTTCTGGGCGCCGTGGGCCGCGCCCTGCGCGCAGATGAACGACGTCGTGCTCGAGCTCGCGCGGCGGCACCCCGCGCTGCTCGTGCTGCAGGTCGAGGCGGAGGAGCAGCCCGACATCGCCGAGTCGTTCGAGGTCGAGGCCGTGCCCGCCTTCGTCGTCCTCCGCGGGCACACGCTGCTCGCGCGCGTGTCCGGCGCGGACGCGCCCGCGCTCACGAATGCGATTGCGGCGCACCTAAGGCCTGCGAGTGTGCAGCCGAAGGCGCAGAGCGATGCGCTGCCGGCGCCGCCGGAGGGGGAGACGCCGGCGCAGCTGGAGGAGAGGCTGAGGGGGCTGATGAACCAGCAGAGGGTGATGCTGTTTATGAAGGGCACGCCGGATGCGCCGCGGTGTGGGTTCTCGAGGAAGACGGTGGGGATCCTGCGGGATCACGGGGTCCAGTTCGGGAGCTTTGATATCCTGAGCGACGAGAGCGTCCGGCAGGGTGAGTGGTTTTCAGTGTAGTTCGGGTTTGATGAAGAGTCACGGCTGATGATATCATAGGCTTGAAGGTCGTGAACAACTGGCCGACGTTCCCCCAGCTCATTGTGAACGGCGAGTTTGTGGGCGGTCTGGATATCATTCAGGAGATGATCGAGAACGGCGAGTTCGAGGACATTGTGGTGAAGGGGCAGTAAGCTTGTCTTCGGGGAGGATTATCACGTGCGAGGTCTGGGTACACCTCATACGCGTAGAAGACAGGAGCAGTCATAGGTGATGTGCCTCGCTTTGTATCTTTTCTTGGTTTTGGTTCGCGCTGTAAAGTTATCGGATATTCTCGTATAATATACACTTCTTCCTCTCCTTTCCGACCCCCGACCTGTATCTCCGCGTTCTGTGATTGGGTAGTCACGCCGTATCCACCCAACGTGTCCTGGCGTACCCCCCGGGGACGTGCATTGCCAATCCCGCCGTCGACGCTGTCCCACATACCGCACTCGATTCCCCACGCATATACTCAGTGACTCATCTAGTCACCCGGGCGACTCGAGTAGGTACCACTTTCGCAGGTGATAGACTCCTGGCTAGCTTTCGACTTGACATTGTATCCTGGTGAGTCGCGCTTTTCGTGTATCTACTTGTCGAACCGTTGACTCACGGGAGTCATCTTATTAATCTGGATGTCTTGTATATTAGTATGCACGTTACTAAGCGTCCCAGCTCACTGCTGGGGGTTGCAGTATCTTAGGCACTCCCCCCCCCCCTTATTCTTATCTCGTCGGCACCTGTAAAAGTGCGCATAACGTAGCTACGGACGGAAGGGCACATGCAACGCGCGGCCTTGTGAACAGAATGTCATTACGAGAGTGCTACGAAATAGACGAGCACTGTATAGAGTCAGCAGAGGCTACATCGAAATCCTCAAATGACATATCAATATCGTTTGTTCGTCCAACTGTCGCGCCAGTGGGTGGGCGGATCCTGTAGACGCGGCCCTTGCGACCAGTGTCACGGAAACCAATGCGGATCTCCACAGTACGCAGCGACGAAAGCCCGCCTAGAACAGAGGACCGGATGCATGTGGCGAGGCATTGCCAGACCTCGTTCTCGGGCTGGGCACAGGTAACGGCGAGCCGCAGACACGAGAGTTTCGTGACCTTCAACGCGGCGCACAGTCGACTCTGGCGAGAGATATTAGTCACCAGGCGCCAGTGACAAGCCTTCAAAATATCCGACTGAGACTCACCAAAGAGTCGCGCAGCTGGTCAATGTGGGCAGGCCTTATCACCCACAATATCAGAGTGCGTAGCTCAGTAGCAGCCTCCCAAATCCAAGGTTCGCCAAGGTAAGCAAATTCGTGGTCGAGGGACTGCAGCACAAGCGTCGGAGGCCGTGCCAATTTGAGAGCGGCCGCTAAATCAGGTACTTGCCGACTCACTGTTGGACTCGCGGATTCCAAATAGCGCACTTGACCTCGAATGCGCAGGGACAGCAGAGTCTTCAGGTGCCCTGAGTATGTGTGCAGAGACCCCCATTCGAAACCGGGGTCCTTCCACCGGGGATCAGGGCTAGGCGCAACTATCCCAGTCATGGACAGTTCCTGGATATTGGGGAACGCCCCTTGCATATGCCGAGCGTCAAACAGCAGGGGGTTCCCGCTTAACATCAGGGTGTGCATCCGCAGCCAGCGCACGTGGACGGGGTCTGGGAATAAGAGGCGTTGGCGCGGGGTTGTGTCGTATATCCATAAGTATTCCAAAGTCGCCCGAGTTGGTGCGAGAAGAAAGAGCACACTCCCAGCCTGTCCTACACTTTCTAGTCGTACTGCGAGGTGGCGGACACAGGCGGACCCGTTGGCCAAGGCATCGCCGAAGAGGGATATCATACCTTTCCCGGAGAGCCGCAGCTGGGCTACGCGACGCAAGGTCAGAAGAAGGGCATCCCGAAGCCGAGGTGATGCGTCCAGAGTACCCTGAAGGTCTACGAGCGCTAGGTCGAGTCTCGATAGGTTGTCGGCCGATTCGAGCACCGGCGCTAGAAACATCTCCAGCGACCTCTGATCCAGCTCACTATCGATGGACCAACCCTCGGGGAGGAGCTCTAACGACTTGAACAGCCGTAGCCTCCTGCCCGAATCAGCTAGGATGAATTTGTTGAATGAAGCTATTGAATCGAGCGTGCCGAGCTTCACAGAGCAAACGAGCCGATCTTGAGATAGTTCCCGCAGGCTGGACACGGTGAGAGATGTGCTCAGAAGGTCGTCCGTTTCCAAGTATTCCATCATAGTGGCCAGAATATCGTAGTTGAGGTCCAAGAGGCGCGGCATCGTGAGTGACGAGTGGACGTGGCGAAATAGCTGGGCCACAGCAAAAGATACGTTAACTCAGCCATAGTATGAGTAGGACTGTACCTACCGAAGGTAGATAGGCTTGTCGCCGGGAGACAAGCACGCCGTCTGCCGTCAGATGAGAAGAAAGGGTTATAAGAGGGAGGAAGCCTGAAGCAAAGGAACACGTCTCTTATATACCTATCTCAATAGCCACACAAGGTCAAACATTGCCACACGTCAAGCGCGGCAAGTCTCACCTTTCTATTTTGGGATCGCGCTTCCTCGTTTAGCGAGAACTTCACAGGAGATTTGACTATACCAGAAAACCTGGATTTCTCGGGACACGATACCTTTGCAAGTGCCGGTCGCGATGTGGGGGAAGCACTTGAAGGGTGGCCTGGGACGTCGGGTACATATGCGAGCACAGCAAGAACCAAAATGGGACATGGAGAATTAAAAGAAAGGTTCGAAAGAAACACACAGAGCAGGAGCTCACATCCAGGACTTCACGAAACGGTGAAGCCTTGGCCGACGGGGTAGACAAAATATAATTGGCTCGGTGATCTCCGACACGACATGTCTGCCCCGAGCCATGATCCCACGTATTTCTGACTCCTGCGCTATGCTGGCTTGGACGGTTCAATGGTGCTGCGAGTTCATTCATTTCTACGGGTCTTTGCATTCGCCGTAATACTTCCCATCTACGTGTTTGGTCCCAACGCCATATTATGGCTCTTCGGAATTCCATACTTCTTTCTTTTCATTAGTGATGGACAATATGTGCACTTGACTCGCATTATACACGGGCTGTTGATGTCTTAGCATCTCATGTCACGGCTTCCGGAGAACACACGATGTATCTGACCACCATAGACCACTGGCAGTGAAATCGCGGTGCTTAAGTATGCACAGGATACAATTGGTAAAGAACAAGCATGGCTGGGAAGGCTATGCTCTACAAGGCAGAACATTGGCGAGGTAGACACTGAAATCATTCAGCAAGCGAAACTTTGAGGGTATCCGCACTAGATAGGTCGAGACTTTCCAATGCTATATCATCAGGGCTCGCGGGTGTGATCATGGCTCGGTGTATCGCATAGAGGCCCTGCGTACCATATGGACCATAGTGGATGTCAACTTCAAAGTACTTGAGTGATGAAAACCCATGGAGGACGGCAGACCGGATGCACGCCATAAGGCTTTGCAAGAGCTCGTCATCGGAGTGATAGCTCGGACTGGGCAGTCGAACCGACAGATACGCTAACTTCGTGACCTTCAGGGCGTCGCACAGTCGAGTCTATTGGCATAATCCATTATCAGCACGGGAGATACTTGTACTTACCGACGCGAGACTTACCAGCGATTCACACAACTGATCGATGGTGTCATACCCCCAGAAGTTTAAGCTCAAATAGGCAAGCTCAGGTGCAGCGAGCCACAAGGACTGTTCGCACAAGCGATCCAAGTGATGGTCTTGTACGGCCAGAGTTAGGTATCGCGGCTGTGTCGATTCGAGGGCAGACGCAAACGCAGGGTCTTGCCATTCCGAGACCCTCTCGCAAGGAAGCAGATGCAGTACTCGGCACCTACCGCCGAGAGCCAGGAGACAGTCCATATAACCCGTATATGAAATTAGGGAGTTCCAAGTGGCAGTATCCGGGGCCTGCTGATCGGAGTCAGACTCTTCCACGATCATCCCGGGCGGGATGCTGGAGTGTCGCACATTCGGGAAGGCTGCTTGGAGATCTCGGGCGTCGAGCGTCAGTGGGGAGCCAGCCAGCATCAGTGAGTGGACGCGTGGCCATTGGATGGGAGGGGAGCGCGGGAAGAGAAGACGTTGGGCCTCCATGGGCAAGTTGCAAATTTGGAGCGATTCCAGGGTATCTCGGCAGGGCGCGAGAAAGGATAGGATGTCCGCCGCTTCATCCGCTTCGAGAAGACGGACGGAGAGGAAGCGAAGACGAGCAGACTCCCCGGCTAGAACTTCGCCCAGGAGAGAGGTCATACACTTGCCAGATAGATACAGCTCGGTAACGCGACTGAAGCTCAGGTCGAGCGCGTGCCGTAATGCAGGCAACGAATCCTGATTGTCTACTGATATTTCAGGAAACTCGAGGCTCTTCAAATTAGTGGAAGACGTGAGTACTTCTGCCAGACGCCTCTCCAAGATTTCCCGGCTAGTTGTACTGCCGATGTCCCAGCCCAGCGCCTCTACCTTGAGTGAGACAAGCAGCTGTGGCCGTCTGGGGGAGTCCGCAAGTACGAACTCGCAGAATGAGTCTATTGCATCGAGCCTCCTTAGATAAACCGAACGGATGAGCTGATCTTGGGATATTTCCCGCAGGGCGCGTGCTGCAAGAGCGACACTCAAGAGGTCTTCCGTGCCGAGGTACGATACCAGGACAGTCAAGAGGTCATAGTGGAGGTCCAGAAGCTGCGGCATTGCTTCCTATATAGGCAGATAATGGCACGCAGCAAGGCTTTTGAACGAATATGTCGGAGCTGCACTGCTTCATAATAGAATGTGTGCTGAATCAGCCATAGAATCAGGGATACGATGGCGTGTCACGTACCGATAGTTGAAAGAGAACGTGTGTACTAGTCAATTCAACCGCCAGTGTAAGGGATAAGGGAGTTGCGGAGCGAGATAAAGGCTGAAGTGAGCCTAGAAACAAGCGCGTCTTATATACATCTCTCGAGCGCCACGCAAGCATAAGAGCGTTCACGCCACACCAAGCGCGCCAAGCGCAACAGGCCACATCCTCCTTCTTTGAGATTGCTCAGCTTGGATCAGCTTAAATCTACTTAAAAAAAACAAGAAAAAAAGCCTACATTGGCCATCTAGGCGACACAGCACGGATATCATTGGAACTCAAAATGTATGTCCGAAAGTGGACTCCGCCTGGCGGCAGCAAAAGGACTGGATGTAGTTCGCACAGCTAAGTGGTCTGTGCTATGTTATAATGACTTCAATTTCCAGCATGACTTGGGATGCGGTTGTGAAACTAGCGAAGGTAGATCATGACTGCGTAACAACGAATTGGTCTTGGCAGCATACCAAAAAAAAGGAACGACCCTAAGCGTCCTCCAAACTCCTGTACGTCCGCTCTTCAAGATGAGCCTGTTACTAGCAATTGATGTTCCTCTATGAGCATCACTTCCATGAAGCGGGAGATAGAGCACGCCCATTCTTGCGATCTGGGGATTTGAGGATGGAACTTGGCAGCGCCAGCTAGATGGCATGGTTCAAGCTTGAATTCCCAACATTCCCATGGCTATATTTTGCAGGTTCTGAGAGTCTTCTGAAAGGCAGATACGGCGAAAGCGAGAAGAGAGACCAAGTGAATGGACGGCAATGCAGTCCTTGGCCGATGGCCATGCGACACAGACACCGAGAACTGAACGTGATTGGCCCGGTATTTCCCGAGATGAGAGGACGTTCGCCTCCTTAAAGTACGCAACTTCATTCAAGTGATGTAAGCAAGTTATGCTACTATGCAGGAGTATTATCATCTACGCGAGTAATAAACTGTTACTGTCAAGAATTCATCACATAATAAGTGGGCGTCGGACAGCATCGTTGTGCTCGCCAGAGCACATTACTTCTTCTGACATTGAATGGAGTTGGAGTGCTCAGAAATGGAGCGGCGTGATTCGCATAAACCGCTTTCACGGCCGTCAACATACTGGATCCCTTAGTGACGAATAAAACCACGATAGCACAACATTCGTATGAGCTATAGTTTTATATCATATAGTCGCTAGGGAATTCAAAGAACCATCGTCCCACAAGACAGTGCCGCTCGATACTAGAGGGTCTTGGTGGGTGCAGGGCACGGGGTCGTATAGCAGCCGCACGGGTCACAGAAATGATACGGTGGAAGGCAGGCTATGTCGCAGTGAATTTGTCGAGCATCGAGCGCGTTGGCATGGCTTCGGGAGACAAGAGTGAGCAAGAGAACTGTAGCTGTAATGATAAATTTCATGGTGTTGTCGTCTAATGGGAGAAGCTCAGTAAAAGGTATTCTGGGAGACAGAGAGCTCCGTTAGTCTTACTCACCGCAGTTACTATACAGTCAGATAACACGTAAGACGTTAATGGCAGAGATAGGTGATCTAGGAGCGTCCGGGAATGTCATGTCAGCCAGCTGAATAGTGCCATGCCAGCATGGCGGTAAGGCGTACCCAAGGCGAGCACGTTCCACAACCTGAGACGTTCAATGATTTTGAGCTGAATTATACACGACGCGGGCCTATATAAGCGCCGTGCGGTGCAGTGAGGACCCGCATGAATTAGTAGGCGCAGCATACCTGTTCCTGTGGCGCTGACAGTCCCGAGCAGGAATACAAAACATAATGTACCTGAATTATCTTATCCCAGTGTGATCATGAGGTCGGCGGGACATTATCAAGCATTTCTCGGAGGATAGCCGCCCCGTAAATTCGACCAATACGGAAAAGATAATGGAGCCGAATTTGCTGATGTATTGTCTGTAGCTGCAGCTCCAGGGAGACACGTCGTGTAGGTGCATCCCAGCAATGGCGCCCTCACGATTGCCGCAGACGTTCCGACGATATTCTCCAGTAACTATCGCGACCACGACGTTAGTACACGTTAGTATATGTAGCTGCCGAGCAATGCACTAGTTACAGAAGCGTGTATTTGCTCCCAAGTTGTTCCGTACGCACCATATGATTCATGGAACGCCAATCGTGCGAAGGTTAGTCTAGTCGATACCCAATGCACATGCCCGCGAGGTGAGCAACATCCTACATGGCTCGTATACTGCATGTCAATTGGTTTCAGAAGTGATAGCGCAGGATGAAAGAGTACGCTGAAGCCACCGACTTGCCGTTGCCGTCTGATGGTTAGAACTTAGAGTGCTCAATACCCACAACAGCAGGGATCGCGAAGACGCCGATGCTCCCACGACATCCCGGAGATTGGTGTAGCGGTAACATCTGTTAGCATTGGCATCGTCTCGGCACTGTCCGAACCAATCACTCTCAGACTTCGGATCCCAGACCTATATCATTTGCCTAGGTAATTCCTTACCGAAAATGTGTGATATAAGTTTGAGCGACAGGTAGTACGCTAAGATACTCCGATTAGTGGTCCGAATGCATTTGTCCGGTGCAAAGGAAAACGGGTCATAGAATCCGCGCGAAGCTGCTATGCCGCTTCCAGTCTATCCGACGAGGCAAATTATAGAGGTCATAAAATGGAAGCTCATCAGAGGGTCCTTAAGTTACGCCCCACCTTCACCTTAGAGCTCTTGGCAACCGGAGTCGCGATAGCTGCCAATGAGCCATCGACAGCAGTCACACTTGTTGGTACAGAACCCATGGCGCTCTGCAGCGCCTGACCAAGCGTGACAGGGACCATACTCCCGGAAACAGCCACTACGCCAGTGGGCGCAAGTGCCATCGATACACCAGAGCCGACGAGGGGGGCAATGATGGTCTCCAACTGGCCCGGGGCGAGAGTCACTACGATCGTCTCGGCCGCACTTGTCGGAGTTGCGATGGCAGAGGTAGCATTCGCTGCGTCGGTGGAAAGAAGTGTGGTTGGAGCGAGCGTATCAGTGGCGGTCAAGCCACCAGTTGTGTCAGTCGGGTCAGCACTGGTGCTGTCTGTGGCAGTATCGGTAGGGTCTGCAGAACCGTCGTCTATGGTAGTATCGGTAGGCTCCGCAGACCCGTCGTCTGTGGTAGTATCGGTAGGCTCCGCAGACCCGTCGTCGGTGCTGGTACCCGTGGGCTCAGCGGTCCCGTCAGTGGCATTCCCCGTGCTATTTGTAGAAAGACCAGACGTATCGGTGGGGTCGGCCTGGATCGCGGTCGTGACAGGGGTGGGGAGACCGTTCTGGCCAATGATGGTGAGGATGGTCTCAATTATCCCTCCGACGTCTATACCCGAAGAGGCTGTGCGATTGCCTTAGTATTTCTCGAATAGACTAATTCGGAGAGTATACTCACTGGTAGGCTCAACATCGGTTGGGGCGGGAGTGGCAGTTATCTCGCGACCTTTCGTGGTCGTCGCATCCGTGGGTTCGGCTGAGGTGCCTGGGGCAGTCACTGTCTCCTGCTGGTTCCCTCCTCGAGCGGATGACGTAGCGGTCTCCACGATAGAGGAGGTCGTGTCTATGCTGAGCGTCTGGCCAGAGGACTCGGTAACCGACGTCGCTTTAGCGGACTCGACAGAGGTCGTTGCTGTGCCAGCGGATACGAGACTGGACGCGCTGTCACTGATCGTAGCACCAGTAGCTGAAGAGACGACGGTCTTGAATCCAGATGATATTGCAACGCTGGTTTGGGATGAAGCAGTGGCTTCTGAAGATGCAGACGTCTCGGATATGGATGCCGAGGTTGTCACTTCAGATGCGGACGTTTCGACGGGGGAGGACGACTTTGCTGAAGATGCCGACGATGTGACCACAGACGCAGATGATTTAACAGCAGACGCGGACGATTTGACAGCAGACGCGGATGATTTGACAGCAGACGCGGATGATTTGACAGCAGACGCGAAGGTCTTAACCACTGACGCGGATGTTTTTACAACTGAATGAGTGGCCACCGGGGTCGTCTGCTGAATAGACACTTTTGTAGCTGTTGCTTTGGGTGTCGTCGCCTTGGGCGGCGTAACCTTAGGGGTTACTTTGGGAGGTGAGACCTTTGGGGGAGCTTTAGGCGCCGAAGGAGCTTTGGGAGCATGCGGAACTCCTATGTGTAAAGGCGCAGCGAAGGCTGGGGCAGCGGCGAGGGCAAGCGTAAATGCGACAGCGACACGCATGATTGGTTATTCTATGCGGCATGGTATTAGTAAATGAATTGGTTCAGCTCATGAACACTTGCCTATGGCGTGATTAAAGTGCGTTGCACGAAGTGTAAAGAATGGGATAGAAAGAGAACGAATAGGCTGTCGTGAGCAATGCGACCTCAGTATGGAACATTTGCACAATACAGTTTGGAATACGCACTGTCCGGCACCAGGAGATGTCAGGGAAATCGAAGTAAAAGTCCCTGTATCTACTTTACGTCCAGTCGAGTCCTTTATATTCTGTCGTGAAACACGACTAGTGCCATCAAGGCTCTCGGTGTCTCCGGCATGTACTACCGTCGGGAGCAGACTTGATGACGAGCCAGACTACGAGGGTTACGACGTCGTGATTATGGGCATAATAGATCATGCCCCGAGAGATGTACGATGGCATGGTGTGAGCATTATCCATGCCGACGACTACATCCCCGGCCGGTGTTCACCATTGAGAGCTGACAATGATGCTGGTTCCACAATCATGTTAGTGGCAAGCGGGCTAGATCTGGCCTGTGTAGGCGACGATGCTATTTTTCCGCTGTGTATAAATAGGATCGTCCCGCCGACTGTGAATGTTCATGGGAAACATGCTAGGACCACTACCACCGGACGTACGAGCGAAA